AGCGCGCGGCTCAGCGGCGGGGGTCGGGGCCGGGGCCGGGGACCCGGCATGGCGCTGCGGAGGGGCAGCGACGGTGGGGCTTGCGGGCTGCTGCTGCTGCTGCTGGGCGCCGCGTGCCTGGTCCCGCCGAGCGCTCAGGTGAGGCGGCTGGCGCGCTGCCCCGCCACTTGCAGCTGTACCAAGGAGTCCATCATCTGCGTGGGCTCTTCCTGGGTGCCCAGGGTCGTGCCGGGCGACATCAGCTCCCTGTGAGTGAGTGGGACCCCTCCAACCCGCGCCCCGCCCCACCCTAAGCCTGCCGCCGTCAGGGAGTTGCCTCTGGCGCTGGGACAGCGCGACCTGACCCCACTCCCCAGCCTGTTTCTTTACGTTTGGGTGGGGGCGCGCTGTGGGACGGGGGTGGAGTCTCGGGTGCCGAGGAGGATGGAGGGAACCCGAGACGCAGAGTCTGGGAACCCGGACAAGTCCCTGTGGCAGTGTTTCTTCAAGTGTGGCCCGCGGGCCACCAGCATCAGACCCACCTGGGGGAGTTTGTGCCAATGCAGATTCTGGGGCCCGCGCTGAATGCTGCAGGGGCCCTGGAGTGGAGCCTTGGAGCCTGCATTTGGCGTCCCCAGGCGATTCTGGGGTGCATTAAAGTTTGAGAGGATATGTGTATGTTTGGGGGTGGTGGTGGTGGTGGTGGTGGTTGTGTAGGGGCATGTATATGCAGTGAGCGCGAGTGGAGCGGGAGCACCTGGGAAGTGGGGAGGCCTCGCTGTCCCGCCTCAGGTCCGGGGCTCCTCCTGACCTCTTCACAGAGCAGGTCGAGAAGAACCTGGGTAAAGACATACAATCTCTGGAAGTGTGTGTGGGGGGGTTCCCCATGTGGTGTGGAAGTGGGGAGCACTAAGGGCTTGGCAGAGCATTGAGGCATGTGGAGCACCCAGCCCAGTGGTCTGGTGCTGGAAGTCAGCCTGACTTCTTGCTCTGAGTTCACAAGGGCTTCTTGCCCCAGACTCCCCACCTACATATATTGGCTGCTTTTTCAGCACTGGAGGAGCTGATGGGAAAGGCTCCACATCATTTATCCACCTGCCAAGAGAGGCTTTCAACCTGCCTGCACACAGCCACTCAGGCCACATGACCAGCTCTCATAATGGCTGTGGAAGGGGCTACTGGGCTATATCTTTATTGCTGGGAAATGTTTCCTGCTGAAATGACTCCCTCGTTCCAGGCCAAGGTGCTGGGTGATGCCTACTCAATCGCAGAGGCAGGGAATTCCCAGGTGAAGCTGCTATGCTCAGAGCACTCACTTCCTCCAGTATTATTGTACATTCTCCTGCCTCCCACCCCAGGGAAGGCCCAGGGGCCTGGGCCCAGTAGTGAAGGGCTTCCTGTTTGCATTGCTAGAAAGTTAGGAGTCCAGTTGACAGCAAAGAGGGCATTTTTAGTTCTTAATATTGCTAAGTCGGGTGACATGGAGGATTCCAGAAATTAAAATTCTCCTTGTTAAACCCTTTAGACCAGCAGCTGCTTAATTGATCTGCATGCTAACTGAAGTAATTCTGAAACCATGTGTTGAGGTCCTGCTGCAGCCAGAGAGGATGGGAGGGACCTGGTGGCAGAAATAGAACCAAACCTCTTGCCCCCACATTGACCATTCAATCTGGCAGATGGCATTGCTTTCCACTGCACATTCAAGTTCAGGTGTCTCTGAGCTTTTCCCCAAGGCGTTCACGGTGCATTTAATCAGAAGTGCTCTGAGTGTCTTTCAGAGATGGGCTCCCAAGGGGAATGCTTAATCCTACCCTGGAGCTTTAGTGGCCAACATTAACTCTGTCTACACAAACAGAATCATGGGCAGAGGTGAAGTAACTGTCCATTTGCAGCCAGGGCCTCCTGTAGTTAAGAAAAGGAAGCAGGGGGGATTGATTCGAACTGGCTGAGATAACGTCTGTGGAAGGAGCTAGACTGATGGTAAAGGTTTCTGTTACTCAGGCTAGCTTTCATATTGATCCAGTTCATTGGAACATGGCTTGACTCTTCTCACTCCAGCCCCTGAGAAGCCCCCGGCCAGCTGTTTTGAGCCTCCTTTCTGAGTGGAAGAGTTTGAAGTACAGGTGGAGGATAAGGCCAATTGCCCATCCTGCCCAGCCAGCATTTCTCAAAGAAACCTAGGCCTCCTTTTGTTGTTCTTTTGCCTGTAGGAGCCTGGTAAATGGAACGTTCTCAGAAATCAAGGACCGAATGTTTTCCCATCTGCCTTCCTTGCAGCTGCTGTGAGTATGGGACGTTCTCTCTGCAAATGGGGGTCCTGGAGGTGCAGTCCTAGGAGGAGTGACCCTTGCCTCTTTGGGGTCAGTTCTTCCTAAAATATCCAAGCTCCATGATAAACCATGGCCGGCTCTGAGCGTTAACCTGGCCATGTCCCCCACCAAGCTGAGTCCCAAGGCTCTTTGCCCAGTGTCCTCACCTGTATTTGGCACATGTTTTCCTCAGCTGCCCTTATTTGGCAACTGGGGACATGATTACATTGAATTTTAACCAGAACTTCACCTAAATGAACTGTTTCCCCCACTTTAAGAGAAAACCTACAATTTAAACTCTTAATGTTACTCTGGAAATAGGAGTATTTCTAATTGACTGAGTACATACACTGTTAGGAAGCATACTATCCATTTATATGCCAAATTTTATTTACTCATCCTGTTATCCCTACAAAGAGGGTATTTCTATTTCCCCATTTGACAGATGAGGAAATTGACACTCAGGGAAGTTAAGTAACTTGCCCCAAATCACATACAGGTTTCTAACCCACACTCATAACTGCCCTGCCACCCAGCCGTTCTTAGCAAGTGTCTGTGTCGTGTCCTGTTGTCCAGGTTAGTTAACGTTTGCTAACGAAAAGAAATGTCCAAAAAAGACAGCTTTCAAAAGCAAATCAGTGACATGCAAAGCCATGAGTACATAGCTCATGCTGTGTATCTGTCTTGGTTTTTTAAATTTGAGATGAGATCAAAATTAAAACAAACAACATACTACAGAGGAATAAGCTTAATGTTGATATTTTTGTTCTGGACATGTTATGTGCTTGCTTACAACATTATACTTACAATTTTTAAATCTGAAATTCTTAGCAATTCTAAGTTCTATTAAATATACTTTCCATATGATAAAAATACAATTTTCGGTATTTTACCAAAGAGACTGAATCGGTGAATCGGTGACTATATAGGCTGTATAAACTTTTACCAAATAGATTTAAGTGGTGACTCATTGAAAACTATGTGGTAATAAAGAATCTTTGGAAGGTTTCTTAAACTTTTTTTTATTATTTCTCATGGGAATGTATAATGTAGGAGAAAAGTGTGTGTGTGTGTGTGTGTGTGTGTGTGTGTGTGTGTGTTTGCGTGTTTGCCTCAGCTGTGTGACTTTGGTCAAGTCACTTAACTTCTCTGGGCTCAGATCTAACAATGAAGTTGGATTAGATCCTTTTAGATCTCCAAGTCCATGATTGCCCATGCATCATAAAGTACTCACTGGCTGTTTAGTTGTTCTGAGCATCATAACGTATTGAAATAACAGCTCTCAGGTCATGTTTACTGAGACCCACAAAGGAGAAAGAGTGGAGTAAAGGGAGATGACCAGAAAATCTGGCCAAAGGGGGTCCACTTGCCATTGTCCATCAGCATCAGTGAGTCAGGTTGTGCATCTTATGGGTCAGTCTCAGGCTGAGAAGAGCCCATGTTTGCCCATGGATCTGAACACAAGAAAATAAACAGAAATGGCTTCGCTATGGGACTCCAGTTTTACATCTCTGCATTGAAATCTGTCCTTTATTTTCAGATTGCTGAATTCTAACTCATTTACAGTCATCCGGGATGATGCTTTTGCTGGACTGTTTCATCTCGAATACCTGTAAGTGTTGTGCCTTGTCTATTTGCTGAGCATGTGGTATGTCAATAGAATTGCAATATTGCTTCCCAAGCTGAACAGCGTCTCTTGGAGAACTCAGGGGTGGAGAAAACAGAGAAAACCCCATTCTCTTTCCAGCCTGACCTTTTATAGTTTACTTGTGTATAAACATGCTGAGATGGGAGGAGGTTGGGACACAGAGGGGGCAAGGAAACAAAGAAGGAAAGATATTCATTCATTCTCTGCTGACATTTAATTTGTCATGTAGTAAGCACAATTGGAAATTGCGTTGGATATTTTTACCTCTTATAACCAGGCATGGATTTGCTGATCAGCCAGAAATAAAGCTGAAGGATTCTGAGGGTTACTTATTTTTAAATGAAGTCTCCCTATATGGGGATACAACTTCATACTTTTTAATTCAGCTGGCCTATATCCCATTGGCAGTATCTCCTGTGAGCTGCTGACAAGGGTCTAACTTTATTTTTTCTTTTTTTGAAAAAAGGTTATTTTTCCCTTTTCAGATGTACAGTGTTTCCTCCCCAGCAATGAGCTTTGCCCTTCCTCTGATTTCTGCCTTTTCCCCCTTTCATGTCTTTTTCCCTCTCAAGCCTTTTCATCCTTGTCTTTTGTAACTTTATAATAATATTAATCCTGCTATCAGCTGGGATTTCCTTACTGAGTATTCAGAGGGATTTTTAAAGCCTTGTCTCTGCTTTCTTATCTGAGGTTAACAGGTAGATGTTTGAATTCTAAACACATCCTGGGTCTAAGAAAACTCTCTGCTGGTTTTATATCCTCAGGAAAGATCTCAGTGGAGGAGTTCTTTGTCCAGAGTACATAGTATGCATGCTATCATGACACTCTGACAGTATCCTTAATTAACATGGAAAGAGTGGTAGGGCTGACGTGCTGAGTCCAACTAGGTCCTATCAAGGCACTTAAGCGAGCGATGGAGGTAGCGAATGTAAAGCTACCAGTTTGCTCTTAGGAGCAGTTCATCTTACTGTCAAATTGATGGAGGAGGAGGTGAGCTGAGTTTATACTGAAGTCTATTACTGAATAGACCCCTGATTTTTAAAAAACGGGTATCAGAAAGTTCTCAGTGCAAAAATCAAGAACTATTTCATTAACAAATGGCATCGTGTTGCAAAGCCTCACTTTTGCACCATCTCATCAAAGACCCTCTTACATTTCACAAAATGTGATGATGCGAACTAAACTGTAGGTCTCTGTGGCCCTAAGGCATAGTCACGGTGCATGTATTTCCCACAGAGACTTTAAAGCATGGCCAGAGTTGTTACTGCAGGGCCCTATCCTCAAGCCGCAGGGCATTTTAGTGCAAAAAAGATGTCTGGCCCACACTCAATTTCATTGTACTTCCTATTTGCTAGTGGCTTTGAGATCTTGATAGGTTCCCTGCCTCGTCACCCGTTTGTTCAAAGATTAGATGGTGTAGGACACGATGAACTCAAAATTTGCCAGAAGCCACGTGTAATGGAATTCTCCCTCAGCAAAAACTTTCATATGGAAATAGAAAACAATGGGCTCCCCTGGAGGGACGATGATATTTACAAAAGTATTAGTAGCCAGGCACCATGAAATGTAAGAAGGATTGACCATCTGGGAGCATTCCAGGCTTGCAGAGATATGAACATTTCTTGCCTTTGTATAGTGCTGTCTTCTTTTTTTGTTACCCAAGATGTTTTTACCCATGTTGCCAGCTCTGAATTTGAAGACTTCCATGCTGCTTCTGGAAAGAATGCCGAACATATCCTGGGTCCATGCATTCTTGCACACAAACCCTGCTCACACTTGGAATCTGGTGTCGCTGACCTAGCCTTCAGAGATGAATTTTTAAAATTCATGAATGCTTTTCGATTTTATTCTGAAAGCACACCGATATCACTTTTTAAAGATGTGAAACGGAGAAAACTTAGTAATTATACTGCTGTTCTCTTTAGGTTCATTGAAGGGAACAAAATAGAAACCATTTCAAGAAATGCCTTTCGTGGCCTCCGTGATCTCACTCACCTGTAAGTTCTATGAAAAGTGTTGTCAATCCTTGACTATGTAGGGTAAGATTCACTTCCTGGCGTCTCTCTCTTTCTTGACTGTTTTGTCCGTCTTGTAACATCCTCTGAAGCAAACTAATTTCCAGGTTGCCCTATGGGTCTCTCTATTGTCAATCAGGCACCAGCCCATGGTGATTTCTCACACACTTGGCTTTATTATCTTTTCCATCATCATGGGTCACTATCACACGACTGCATGTCAAGTAGGAAGCACTTTGAGATGTGAGAGGCTTATGTCGAGCGATGTAGGCGGTGGGACGGAAAGCTGACAGGTACCGTATACTTACTGTGTGCCAGGCACAGAGCTGGGTGCTTAGTGAGCCTTCTCCTCTTCATCTTTCATGATAATCTGTGCATCCCCATTTTACAGATTTGGGAAATGAGGCTTATATGACCCATTGAAGAATGTTGAATGCAGGGTCAGAATTAGGACAAAATGGAACAGAGATATTTTTGTGGTGTCTCTAATTTGAATGCAAATAGCTTTTGCCTTTATGTTGGATTAATCTTCGGCTTAAGCTAAACTCGCTGGGTTCTTTAATCGCTTTCTGGAGAAAAAAAGTGAAACAAATTGATTTGAATTGCCATATCAGAATGAAGCAAGTGCACACACTTAGCAAATTTAGAAAACTGAATAAAATAGCCAAGAACCAAGTCCCATTTGCATGATAGATGTTTTGTGTTTGCGTAAGATAACATGTCTCATCTCCATCATCAGCTTGGGTGTGGTAAAAAGAGAACCAGGGAAACTGGAGGGCTTTGACTAGGGCTGTTGGGCAGGGGCGGTAATACCCTGACTGTGTAACCTTGAGTGATCCATCTTCTAAAGAGATAATCATTTACATCAAACCCTGATATAGGCAAAGGTGTCTGCCGCCAGGCTCAGTGAGCACCGGATTCAGGAGCCCCACCAAGCAGAAGCTCTGCCTGAGTTCAAGCTCATAGAGTCAGGAGATGAGGGAGCAGAAGTGGGAGGTCCAAACATGTGGGTCAGCGCAGTCAGTCCTGGAGCGTGTCAGACTTGTTCACATTGTTGCTCTAGGTGTTTTTTTTTTCTTCCTATAAAAGCTTTGATTCTTCTTTTCAAATTCAACCTAGATGCTGAATTCCCACATTCTTGTCGGGGCTAAGACAATGGGCTTGAAATCACATAGACTTGGATTCAAATCTCAAGGCCATCATTTATTACTATTGCTTACCTTTTTGAGCCTCAGTTTTCTCATCCTGAAAATTGAGATGATTATACGGACCCCATAGATTAAAGCTTGCTTGCAAAGCATCCAGCCCATCACCCATGGTAAATGATAGTTGGTGTAATGGTCACTATTAGCGTCATCGTCATCATCATCATCAACAACATCGTTCCCTCCCTCCACTCATCGAGAAATCTCAATTTTCTCCATGGATTGTTGAGTAGCCCTGGCAGTTTGGGTGGCCAGACAGGGTCTGCTAAGAAGACAGCTGTGGGCATCTGGAGAGGAACAGCTGTGGCCAGATAAATCCGGTTCCCAGCAGTGAGGAATGAGGGACTTTGTTTTTAAGCAAAGGCTCTGGGCAGATTGTGAACCTAAAGCAAAGCCCATGTGACTGGTTGAGTTAGCCCAGATGTTAACTTTCATTTGACCAATTGGCTATGGGTCCCTGGTCTGAAAATGGGTGTGACCATGCAAGTATTGTGCATGTATATTTATTTGCATTGTTTGCACACGTATGCCCATAGGTGCATGGACTTCTCTACATGTGTGTACATAGCTGCGTTTGTGTGTGTGTGCTTGTGCATCTGCACATGCAACCATATGTGTACATCACATGTGCATATGTGTAAGAGGCACCCCCTTTTCTGTCTGCAGTGCAGAGGGAACAAAGGAGTCCTCTGCTTGTGTCCAGAATACATCTGGTGCAGTAATATACCCATCTCAGCATGTGCACATATTCCCATCCTACGGTTAAACCTACAGGGCCCCTTCTCCCCAGCTCTCCAGCCTCATTTCCCTAAATGTCCTCAGAATACCAGGCCGTCAGTGGCCCCCATGCATACCCAACTCATCCCGTTCCTGGGCTTCTCCTCTCATCCTTTCTTTTGCCCTGGATGCTATTTTTCTGCCTGCAATCTCCTGGAATCTGCTTTTTCTTCGAATTCTAGATTAAGTCCCATCTCCCCCAGTGGAGCCATTCATGATCTGGCCTTCCTCCCTCCTGCAGCCCCTCCCCACTGTTGGCTCCAAACACCCAGCACTTTACTGCAGGCTCAGGCCATACTGGTTGGTGCTGTTTCATGGATATTAGTTTTATCTCCCCAGTAGCACTGAAAGCTCCCCACGTGGAGGGCCCATGAGAATCTTCCATCATTTCTGCTCTTCCCCCAGCATCTAGTGCAGGGCTAAGCCAGCGGGATATTCTTTCTCATTTGCTGGTTGACCAATGGGTTCCTTACTGAGCTGGATCTTCCGTATGGACTCTACTTCTGGGCATGTCAGGTGACTTTTAAAGTGGAATCCTCTAGGTTGGAGATGTATGTAGTAATTAAAGCACTGGATACATTGTTTAAGAATGAACTGACCCATATATAAGTGAAATCATATGGTATTTGTCTTTCTCTGTCTGACTTGCTTAGTTAGCATTATAATTCTCCCATTTTCCTCCCCTTTTTGTAAACTTCTAAGCAAAGAGAGCACATTAGCTCTCTAACTTTCACCCCTGTGCTTAAGGAAGTCACTATCTGTATTTGCTTATTTAAGTATCTGATTTTTATCTTTTGTGAACTTTTCCAAGACCTACAGGCTCATATTCATATGTAAAGAAACATAGATCAGGTTTCAAAGCATTGAAGGAACCGTGCCAATCTGTAAGTAAAATCTAGGACATTTGTTTTCCAGCGGTCCTGTAAAACCCAAGGGACAAGTTGCTGTTAAGTAGTTTTTAAAATGAAGTAAGTGCCATGAATTTATAGATAAAATGAAGTGGAAAGTAAGATGTTATGCACCGAGTGTGAGTGGGGGTGGATGGTCCATCTAAATAATTCAGCCTTCTGAAATCTAAATTGAACACTTGGAGCAGTTGCTAAACAGTCTGCTTGCTGGGCCTCGACCATTCCATATATTCTGATCACTTGAATATGATACATTTCAACTAGCTAAAAAATTTTAGGTAAATAATTAACCTTTAATTAGCTAAAAAAAATTTTGTGCTTTCCAGGAAACGTAATCATCAACCAGAAAAAAAAATCAAAACAAACATGTCTTTTCATTTCAGAAAGCTATTCTAGAGTATGTTCAGTCTGATTTACATATTCAGCCTATTTTCCACCATCTTTAAAAATGTATAGATAAATCATTTAGGAAAGAAAGGTAAAAAAAGTACACGAAATGGTATTTTAATCCATTTGTGATTACCTATTATAGATGGGAAAGGGTCTTCCCATATTCTGTTGGCATCTTGAAGCAAGAATGTTTGGCTAAAAATGGACCCAAAGCTTTCTACTCTAGCTGAGTCTAAGGCAGGACACTCATTTCTTTAATGCCATTTCTGGGATGGGTCATTATGATGCTACAAAAGACTAATTTCATATTTATTTTCAAAGAGGTTGATGCTGAATTGCCTGCATGTGTATCATTTATATGTTTTGCTATTGGTACGCATGGGTAAGGGAGGAGTAGGCATCAGTTTCTTGGCTGACTCACATTAGAGCAGGATGCCTGGGGGAAATCACAGACTTGATATACATCCTTTCAACACCCAACATCTTTCAACGTCAGCAGCCAGCACCATGGACATTCATCTTTAGCAGGATGATGACAGGGCACTGCAAAATCCTGAATCATCAGAGAAAGAGTTGATGGCGTTCATTTAAGTCTACTTCTGGGAAATGCGGAATGGACTCGGACATTTTAGAAAGCACCTCAACACTAACAGCAAAAATGCAAAATGGTTTCTGGTCAACCTTTGTTAATGAGAAAGCAAAATTGATCACAATAATTCATTCCCTGAACACTGTGGTTCATTAATATTTTATATTATCGTTGGGTTAGAGCTGGGGGTCTTTATGTATAAGACTGTTTACTGAGTTCTTTTTTAAGATCACAAGTAATAGAATTCACTTTGATGGACCATTAGGGAACTTCTTGGGACAAGACTGTACATCTTTTTTTTTTTTCAATCCTTCTTATTTTAGTGCATAATTCATTCATTCAACAAAGACTTACTGAGTACCTACTATGTGCCTGGCACTGTTCTAGGAGCTGAGGATACAGATGTGGACAAACAGACAAAGATCTCTGTCCTCACGTTGCTTACATATAGGGAAAATACACAGTCAATAATCAAATAGATAACTAAAATATATAGTATGCCATGTCATGGCCATGCAATGAAGAACAGAGTAGGAAAGGGAGATGTGTAGAAATCAGGGGAGGTAGTGATAGTTGAGGACAGATGTAAAGGAGGTGATAGAGTGCGTTGTGGGAGTATCTGGGGAAGGGCGTTCCAGGCAGATGAACAGCAAATTCAGAAGCCCCGAGGTGGGACAGTGCTTGTTTGAGGAATAACAAAGAGGCCAGTGTGGCTGGATCTTGGGGGTTGAGATGTGGTTCCACAGATAGGCGGGAATCAGGTCAACTAGACAATGGAGGGTCTTGCATGCCATGAAAAGGACTTTGGCTTTTATTCTGAGAAACATGAGATACCATCTGAGGTTCAACAAATGTGTATCAAGAACTTCATAAATGCCTGTTTTAAAAACAAAACAAAAAACTTTCAATGTACCCAAGCATTTATAATGTTATCTTTGTATAAGTAACTTCATTTCTTTATCTCAGTATTGAACCACGTTGTGCTGACGTGGTTTAGAGCTCTGTTTTAAATTATTAGCTTTATTTAAGGGACTTCAGAGTAACAGGGCATGAAGATAATAACCACATTAAAATATTACTTTCTTGTTCTAGTTCTTTGGCCAATAACCACATAAAAGCTCTCCCAAGGGATGTCTTCAGTGATTTAGACTCTCTGATTGAACTGTAAGTAATGAAAATCAAATTTATGTTTGTTTGTCATTGTGCCCCAACTAATCACATCTTTAAATTCTTTCTCCCCCTTTATTGAATTTCTTTTATGTTATAGCTATGACAAAGTAGTGCCTACTGGGAAATAGCATATTGTTTGTATTGTGTTGGGTTTTGCCATTTGTAAATATACTTAGTAGCATTTGGCTATCTCTTTCCCTGATATGGCATATCCATCTGCTTTATCTTCTAGTGTTCGTCACTTCTTACTGGACATAGTTGAACAAGATCTTAAAGTTTCAACTGAGTTTGTGAAAACTGTCGTCATATAATATCCTGGGGGTTTTTTTTGTGAGAAGCTGTGTTGGATGGTGTTCGTCTGCCATCCCTCCCCCATTTCTAACATGGCGTGGTGACAGTTTCAAGAGAGTTTGGTGTAATGTTGATATGTTAGCTCTGAGAACCCTCTGTAGGCCATACAGTTAAAATCGCGGGCACTGAAGATCATTAAATAAAGTCAGTGACAAGTACACAAAATAGGATGTATAAATACACATTGTTTTAAAACTTCTATTTCGGAAAGGTATTAAATATATCAAGATGTTAATAATTCTGGACTCTTATATTCCTGCCAAAACATTTCAGGCATGTCTGTTTCTCTGTGTTTGTATTTGTGTTTTGTTTTGATTTTTAGAGATTTAAGGGGCAATAAATTCGAGTGTGACTGCAAAGCTAAGTGGCTGTATCTGTGGCTGAAGATGACAAATTCCACTGTTTCTGATGTGCTGTGTATCGGCCCACCAGAATATCAAGAAAAGAAACTAAATGACGTGACCAGCTTTGACTATGAATGCACAACTACAGGTATGCAGCACCTCTGTCACTGAAGGTTGTTATTTAGAATATTCCCTTTAGATTGTCAACAGGGAGTGGAGAAAGTGGGTGTAAACGTTTTCTATCAGAACTACCTTAGGCAAAATTTAAGCCTTCTCAAAGGTATGACTTTATGTGTAAGGAAACTATCTCAACAGTTTAGATTTTCGTTAACTGCACTGGCTTTAATTTTGATTCTTTTTTTTTTTTTTTTTTAGCTGAGCCATCCTGCCACCTGTTGGCAGCTCAGTGGCAGCTCAGCTCGGGCCGGGCATCGAACCGCTGTTGCTCAGAGCTCGTAATTTTGATTCTTTGCAAAATTCAAATTTCTCTAAAGTTTTTCTTTAAGGTCAAAGTACAAACTAGTGAGTTTAACATAAGAACATTGTCAGACCAGTCTGGGTCTCCATGGAAAGCCAGTACAGAGAGGCCTTACTTATTGTTCTCTTGATTGAATAATATGAAGTTTATTGAAAATGTAATTAGGAAATACCAGACTTTGCAGTCTATAAATTGCTTTTGTAGTTCCATGTAAAAAAAGATAACTTGGTAAACTATAACTAATGGCAAAGTGGAACTCTAAGTGAACAGTTAATTGTCAGAAGATAAAACTCACACTGAGGGAAAAATGTAAAGAAAGTTTGATTTTGTTTTCTAGCGTCTGGATCAGGGTTTCGGTTTACACATTATTTTAGGCTCTGAGATAAAATTAAATGCTAACTGCCTCAGCTCTCTACACTTCTTGTGGAGAGGAGGTGTCTCCCTATGAAAGACTGAGATGGAGTTTCCAGCCTCTAAAGCGAAAGGCGAGTGGATCAATCCACAGTATGAAACCTGCTTATCAGACTTATAAAAATAAACATTTAAGTTAAGAGTTGATATCGACAGAGCCTCAAGGCATCTTGGTAGGAGCAGCAGGAATGAGAGCTCAGAGAATAATTTCATAAACTCAAAAGACAAAAGAACTTCAAGAACAAAATATCACCTTCAGGCCCATCCTGCTGTCGTCCCCCTCCACCCCCCAAACAAAGAAAAACTCACAAAGCAAAAATTATTTCTATATATCTTTGTAAATAAGGGACCCTACCAATTCTGTTCTTTTCTGAGAGAAAACCTGAAATCTTAGGGGAATGACCTTGTCTTTCATCACTGAACAGGCGCTTATTCAGCTGTGTAATTGGCAGGTGCCCTTTAGCCAGCCGAGGCCACAAGCAGGTTATTTATTGTATTGTAGAGCAGTGCAATAAATCAGAGGTCATAGTCAATGACATTTGCACCAAAAGGTGGCATTCAAGGCCATTTGGTATGAAATGCTAAACCAGAGCTCACTGGGGTCCCTCTCTGCCTCTTCTCCAGTTCTCCTGGAGAAATCTGTAAGCCCCAAGGTGTCGTTAGCAGCATTTCTGTTGTTCTCTTCACACCTGGCTATAATGTGTGAAAAGTTCACCAATCTCTGAGAGAAATGGCATGGGCTATAGAGGGCCTTGCGGGGACGGGGAATAATTTATAGGAGGAAATGTGATTTCTGACCTTACAGCCCTGTAGATGGTTGTGGAAATGATCTAGGCTCTGAGAATTATCACAGGAATGGAGGGGGCTTGGAACCAAAATAGCCAGGTCCTGAAATCTGTCCTCATTCCAGAACCCAGGGGGCAGTGTCAGCCCCTAACACGTTTTAGGGCATTCTCTCTCTTCTCTATGCCTGGGCTAAAAAGCTTCTTATTAAAATGTAGAAAGTCAGCCCTCTTCCCTGGCAACAGGGAAATGATGATTCTGTCTTTGCCATTATTTCATTCCTTTAAGATTATGGACAGATTAGATTGAGTCTTGCTCCCAGTTCCTTCCATCATGAAAAAATGGCACAACCAGTGGGCATGACCTGACCCCCAAATATACTCCCTGACTCATTAGATCTTAGGTCGATACATTGTGAGGTTTTGGGGTTCCTGTTTCCTGCTCAAATCAAGCCCCATCCTCTGGTGCTTTATTAAAGGCTGGGGAGCAAATATATGAGGATGGATGGGAGATGGAAAGCCAGATCTGAGAGTCAGGGTACTGCTGTTGCATCCTCACCGAAGATTTGGGAAGAAGCACATTTTCTGAGTGCACTGTTTTCCTGTTAGCCCAGATTCTTTAGGTAGAGGAAGAACAGGCAGATACTGTTCTTCCCAGGGAGAGGAAGGTCTTGTTACCATTCCGTTCCAGGCACAGGGGTGTAATTAATACCATGAAGCCACCCCTGGACTGTGTCAGCTCTCTAGATTAATCACAGTCCTTCCACACCCCTCCGCCTCAAGTCTATTTTTAACTACTTCAAAAATCTCTGTTACCTGCTCATGATTCCACATGCTAGGTGGATAATTCACTAAATTCCTTGGAGGGAGTGAATTTTGCATCCTAATGGTCCTCTTAGCTTCCCTATTTCAGGGCTGATGAAAACGCAAAGAGAAATAATGCATTAATGTGCGGTTTCTCTCCCAATAGGGTTGGCATCATGTATAATTTATTTTCTGCAAGTGCTATAAATAGCTATGTAAAAATCTGTTGATTCCAGTGGGAGCCATGCCTGAATTAGGAGAGTCCCACTGACATCATGAACTTAATCCAGTGTGAATGGAAGTGGCAATGTTTTCGCAGAGAATACCAATAATAGTTAAACACTAGTAAATTGATGTCATATCAATATGTGTATTCTCTGAGACCTTTCCACAGTAAATGTGCTTTTGCCATTTGTAAAAGATAAATTAAGATGGGGATAGAAGAAAATATTTAAACACCTCGAGTTCCCTTCCCCCTATATACACGAACACATACGCATCAATCATATTCTTTCACCCGTTTCTTCCTCGTTTTCTTCTCTTCCTCCTCATTTTTTTGAGGGGGCAGTAGAGGGGAGAAGGGATCTCCTATTAAGAATTAGATTTGTAATTCAAATGACTTAACAGTCTGTGTTGTGCCAGATACTCAGTATATAGAGAATATGATGAAACCAATGTTTTGGGGAAACAAATGAAAGTCAGACCAATCAAGGCTAGATTTGTAAAATGCTCTTCACTCTGGCAGCTCTTTTTCATTCTGGGATTCTTTAATTAAAAAACTGACTTTTTTGGTCTGCACTTTAAATGACCTGTGTTTTGGAGCAGAAGCTCATGTTTCTGAGAATTCAGAGTGTAGAATTCAGAGAGGGAGACAGTCTAGAATGAGTGAGGTCCGGGCACCGCAGACATGTTGGGAACCTTCTGCAGACTTGGACGAGACAAATACCACCGGAGGTAGGAGAGGCTTATAGCCGTCTCGGTTGTGATTAAAAGAACGCAGCTGTATTCTCGGAGTCTTTTTCTAACTCCAGGAAAGGAAGCCGAAACTGACAGCTACTATTTCCCTTCTTCCATTTATCTATGCATGAACACAGAACCCTCCAAGCCTTGTGTCCTCAGCACTTTCTGGCTTCTACACTGGTTCTGCCAGTGCCAATAAAAGAGAACCGAGGCTGAGTTTCTCTGTTTTAGTCTTTGACAGATCAACGGGGGTGCAGATAGAGGAGTGGGGCTAGGAGCTTTTGTGATTCTTTCCTAAGTCTTTGTGCAGACCGCATAATGCTATCGTTGTGACTATAACTACATAACTGTGTAACTATAGAGTTACTTACATCTATAACTCTACTGAGGGGCCACCACAGACAGAGCTCTGTGCTAATACTATGTGCACTCTCGTTATGAACTAGACATCAGCCTCATTTTACTCATGAGGAACCTGAGGCTCAAGGTTTTTGCCCACGGGTCACAGTTCTTCCTGCAGGCAGCCACCTGAGGCCCAGTCTCTTTTACCTCAGAGCCCCAGCTCTTCTGCATAGTCTACTCCCTGCAGGGTGGGGGAGAGGGTGCTTGTCCACTATTGCCACCTGCCCTCACTGTCCCTCGGCCACTTCTTGCTTTCGGGGTGCAGAGGAAGCTTCTTTTTTGCTTCCCCCTGCACCTGCAAGCACCGTTCGTTCAGCCGAGTCCTCTCCCCACCACAGTCTTCAGAATGAGCTAGCCTTCCCACTTCGTTAAGCCAGCAAGCACTTATTAAGCACCTACTGTACCTGGGGAGGGACACCTCTGAAAGTTAACATGTGCAGAGCACTAACTTAGTGCTAGGTACAGTTCTAACTGAGTATGAATCGTAATATATGATGAGGAAACTAAGGCAGAGAGACGTTAAGTAACTTTCCCAAGGTCACTCAGCAAGAAGGTGAAGTCACAGCTCTGGCATCTTTTCTCAGATGTCATTAAAATTGACACTCCTCCAAGAGACAGACCAGTGGTGGCTGGGACAGAGGAGGTGGGCTGTCCTTTCTCGGACCTGAATTCTATATTTATCAAGCACTTACTATGTGCTAAGCTCCGACGTAGGTATCTCCAGCAACATTACTCAATGTATCCATGCCATTCAGCTGGGGAGGTATCATTGCCCCCCTCTTGTGGAAGATTTAACTGAAGCCTTGCCAAGGGAAGTGTGCAGCCCACGGTCTCGAGTGCCGGAAGTGGCTGCCGGTAGCTGGACTCCAGGCACAGAGCTCTTTCCGGTGCTTCACGTTGCCTGCCCTCCCTGAGGCCTTCCTGCTTCTCCTGCCCCCTGACTGTCCCCTGCTATTCCCATCCGTGCTGTGTGCTTCTCACCCCAACACGCTCTCAGCTGTTCCCACCTCCTCTCCTGCCTCCATTCCTTTGACTCTGTCGCTCTTTACTCACTGCTGAGTGGCCCACTCCTTTGTTGCCTTTCTCATGTGACAGTTTTAGAAGGCTTCTGAGTCAGAGGTATTTCTTGAGTGGCTTCTGTGGGCTTGTGCTATGGGGACTCCGAAAATGTAGGGCCCAGACCAGACCTTAGGCAGCACTAAGTGGTTCAGGAGACACACCGTACTCGCTGTGTGGCCATGGTCAGACACTCACCCTCTCTGGGCTTCAGCTGCTGGCTCTGTTAAAATGACTCAAGTCTCTAAGATCTCTCTCATTTCTCCAGATCTGTCTCTGATGATCACTATGTTGGAGATTCAGTCATCGTGAATAATAAGATGTAAACAGCAGTGCCTGATTATGTGTCCAAGGAGTTAGGAAGAGTTCCATGAATTGGACCAGTCAGGGAAAGCTTTTCAGAGGAGGTGGGACTTACTTGAGGGGCACCAGTGAGGATTTGTTGGGAAAGAGATGGGCAAGAGACTTCCCTTAGCCAGACATCCACCATCATCTTACCCTGGCCATGTTTAGCCTGCCAAGAAGCAGCGCACATGGAAAGGTCTCTTGCCAAAGAAAGAATTTACCTTAAACTTTATTATTGTTTTGTTTTTCTTTCTTCATTGGTTCTGAAGCTACTCCGCACAGTAACCATTCTTTCACCCGAGAGTATCCTCACTGTTCCTTGGTAAAACCATACATTTCCTACCAAGGTTTGATACAGTGAGTCAGTCGTAGCTCAGGGGAACAATGTGGATGAGGAGTATTGACGTGCCACTAAATGGAAGAGTAGAACACATGCTCAAATCAGACGAGCTTTATGTTGCTTGAAAATCCAATAGATCTCCTTCCTGTAAGTGCTTGCTGAGCTATCCAACGCTGTCCAGACCCCAGGAACAGCCATTACTTACACAGCACTGAGTCTAACCAGTAAATGTACTTAGGTCAACTTCCCCGCACGGTGGGCTTTATGAACTTCTCAGACCATATGTCAGGGGTTTGGTTGGGTTTCCAGATGTGCAGTGTGCCATTTGGGAGGTTGACTTTTCATTTTGAACCCTCCGTGGCAGTTTCCACACCAAGGTAATACAGAGTTTGGGAATATGCTAACAGGTGGTAAAAGGGTTCCATTCTCAGGTAAGCCTGAGAAGCACCACAGCAAACAAAACTAAACGGGTCTCTTTACTACTGGGGCTCTTCTGAGAGAGCTAGAATTACAGCATTTCCCAAGCAAATTTGCCCTCAGCAGGCCTTCTTCACCGAGGGATTTTCCTGATAGTTTTAGGAACGTTGCTCTGTGGCATCCTTGCTGTCTTGTCTTTTTGAAATCCAGGTTTCACCAAATGTGTTTAAAACCTTGAGATCCTGTAGCCAAGCTTGTGAGCTGCTCATCTCGAGCCGTATTAGAAGCTGTGCACTCAGTCTGTGCAAGCCAGAACCTTCTGGAACCTCCCAGAGTCAAACACACCGTGATGTTTGTGTTGCTGCTCTCCTGCCCTCCACCTCCCAGCACTTTTCAGAGCTGATGATAGAAAGGATGGAAGGGTAGTGGCGGTTAATAACTGCCACAAGAGATCTCATGGAGCCTTTTTTCTTTCTTTCTTTTTTAAACCCCTATTCCCAGATTTTGTTGTTCATCAGACTTTGCCCTACCAATCGGTTTCGGTGGATACATTCAACTCCAAGAATGACGTGTATGTGGCCATCGCTCAGCCCAGCATGGAGAACTGTATGGTGCTGGAGTGGGACCACATCGAAATGAACTTCCGGAGCTATGACAATATTACAGGTGTGTTGTGGCTTTGATCGGATGTGTTGGCCTAATTTCAGTGAGAGAAGAAACGTGCTCTGCCATACCGAGGGACAGCTCGGCTGTCGGACATGGTTAGATTTGGGGAACACACTCCATCCAGCCCACCCCCATCTCTCTGATTTTTTTTATCACGACTTGTTCAGTTATTGGTGAGAACAGAGATGTCAGGAGGTGATCCTATTTATTGCTCGTGATCCTTTTGAAAAGGGAGAGGGTGATGGTTTGCATGTGGTGGGAGGCATTTTTCCTGGAGTGGTGCAAGTCACTCAGAGAACCCCTTGATCTTGAGTGGTTATGGTGGCCTAAGACTGCACCCGCTTTGTAGCAGCAGCTAAATGATTTCGTTGACTTTTATTTTAATAGGCTAATGCATACACATGTATACACGCATGTGTGCTCATGCACACATATGTACATATGCATGGACACACATACATGCACACACACGTGTACACATGCACAGGCACACACATACACCCTCTAGCTGTTCCTCCTGCCCTCTTGCCAGGTCCTAGTGATCACCGCTTCCTTTAATTTACTAGTACAAACAAAATATGAATAAATGGCTCTAAATTCAGGCCTTTGGGATAAAATTTCCCTAATGCTTCTTTCACTGCTGGCAGGGGGACCCCAGTGTCTTAGTGCTACTAAAAATGGATGATCTACTTGCTTTGTAAGTAAGTGGATAAAGTCTTCCAAAGGCCCCTTATTTATCAAGCGTAATCTGATAATAATACTGACTTTATAAACAGCATCACAATAGCCTAACTGTGACCCCATGAGAGGATTTCCTTTAGTGGTTCCTGATTTGGAGCTACAGCCGCGTTTTGCTGTTGCAGCGAGAAGCGTATCTGGGTAGAATTTCCGGATGGGGGGGCTCCTGGGAATCTCTCCGGCACGAAGTGGCTTTGCAGCAGGTGCAGGATGTAGGGAGGCAGGGAGAGTGTCGTTTCAGCCCTCGGGAGCAGAGCTGCTAATGAGCCTCATCTCGCAGCCCTGAGATGTCTGTGAGACGCACATGCGGATGCCACGAAGAGGCCATTTCAGATGAGTCGCGTTGCTGTCGGGCCATCTGGCTGCCTAGTGCTGAGCTCACATTCCTAAGAGCAGCCCCGCTCATCCAAATGCAGACTCAGCGCAGAGCTGTGCTGCGCAGGTGAACCTAGTGAGGGAGCCGAGGCCTGAGGACTTTAAACCCAGTCCTTGTGAAAGGAAAAAGGGAGGCAACAGAGGGGACTCGCCACCCATGTGTTTTTGCTTCCCTCATTTTCCTAACTCGGAAGGTAAGCGAGGGGTGAATGAGCTGGCCTCTCTTCCTCTCCCCATAGTAGGAGGTGGGACTGTGCAAGGAGTTCCAATGCCGTGTGGCCAGTGCTGGTTGCGGGTCTGAGGTGCCAGGTTCTGATTTGTCTCATTGGAAACTCACCACAGCTGCTGGAGGTATTACTGTGGGTTGCCTGCCCATAGGGTGAGGACAGAAGCCTTCTCTTCAAGGGAGAGCTGGCATACAGACAGAGCATAAAGCGCTCAGGTTTTGAAAACTGACGAATGTGGGTTCTACTCCTGATTCTGCCATGTGCTAGCAAGTAACAGTGGCCCCGAGCTCAGTTTCCTCATCTGTCAGGTGGACAGCTGATGCACCTTGTGTGGATATTGTGAGGATTCGGTGAGTGCCAGGCACAGAGCAGGCAGTCTCCATGCCAGGTTCCTCCTCACACCTTCATAGATGAAGACATCGAGGCTCAGGCACATTGAGTCACTCCACTGTCACTTCGGAGGCGGAGCCCAGCGTCTGTCACTATTGTATCCCACTCCTTCCGTCTCCCAGGTTGACCGTAGTAGGAAGGGACGACACTGCTCCCCACCTGCAGCTGGTGGCATGCCCGAGTTCCTCAAGTCCGTCCATCCTCCCTCCCTCCCTCTCTCTCTCCCACCCTCGATTCCTTCCTCCCTCTCTCTCTTTTCTTCCTTCCTTCCTTCCTTCCTTCCTTCCTTCCTTCCTTCCTTCCTTCCTTCCTTCCTTCCTTCCTTCACAAAGACTTCTTAAGCTCTTATTCTGAGCCAGGCACAGTCTAGGTGCTGAGGCCAAAGTAATAAACAAAGCAGATAAAAACCTCTGCCCTCAGGGAGTTCACATTCTAGCAGGACAGAGCGATAATAAAAAAGACAAATAATTGCAATATGTATAACACTTGGATAGCAGCATGCTAAGAAGGGAAAAGAAGGTGGGGGAGGAAGCTTTGACGTGCTGGGCATGGGGGTGTTGAAATTTTAGGTAGTGCCTGGTAGAGGCCCCATTAAGAAGGTGGTATTTGAATCAGACCTGTGGTACATGAGGACTTGAGCCACATGGAGAGCTGGAGGAAGAGCATTCCAGGCAGAGGGAACAGCAAGTGCAAAGGTCCGGAGGTAGGAGGGTATCTTTCCTGTTTGTGTCGTCCAAGGGGCCAGTTGAGCATGAGCGAAATGATCCCAGGGAGAGCTGCGGGAGACCAAGTCGGAGAGGTAGGAAGGGCTGGCAGTGGGGCCTTGGAGGTCCTACAGAGGATGTAGGCTTTTACTCCAAGAGCTCTGCAAAGCCTTGGAGGGTTTTGTGCAGAGGTCACAGGGCTGCACAGGAAGAGACAGGTACCAAGCATGGAGTGCTGGGCCGAGAGTAGCCTGTGTAAGAGGAGGAACACAGGTGGAAGCAAAGCAACGAGTTCAGAGGCTATTGCAAGAATTCCAGCAAGCGCTGCTGACCTGGACCTGCCAAGGCCACAGAGGTGCTGGGTAGAAAATGGTCAGTAAGATTAGAGTGGGCGTGGCCAGAGCCAGAGGCAGGTCTGGACCTTGCTGGTTTCCAGGGATTCCTCAGCCCCTCCATCTCAAAGTCTGAATCTTCGGAGAGGTGGGCAACCTGGCATGAAGCCCACAGGTCCTCTTCACAGACAAACCCAAGAAATGAGCTCCAACAGTGGTAGTTAAGCTGATGGGCTCCAACATCACACTTTAGTTTTTGATAAAACTGGCTCCAGATCTTTCTAGCTGGCGACTTTGGCCAAGTTACTTACCTGCCATGAGCCTCTTTCATCTGTAAAATTGGAATTTCATGAATTCCCAGTTCATCTGTGGGAATTTAATGAGGGTAATGTGTGTAACTCTTAGCCCAGTGTGTGGCATATAGTAAATCCTCAACGAACCTTGAGCTATCAGCTGGAGATGAAAATAGATATTTGATTACCATTCCTCACTACTACCACTAGGGGAAGCTACCAGCTTCAGATCTTTCAGTCTTTTTAATTCAGGAAAGCACACAAACTCATATATCAGGGTCCCAACATGCCTGCTTGATATGTAGTGCCCATTTTTTGTCACTTATTATTGATTTATGAGCACATCTTACACTTCAGCCACCTCACTTTCTCATATTTCTCTCTTCACCTGGGTCTCCAGGCTCAAATGCAGCCTCTTACAGGAAGCATTCCTTGATGACCTGATTGAAATGAAGTATCTGTCTCCTGTGCTCCCTTAGTACGTACATTTCCATTAAACACAAATCACATTCATTGAAACATAATTTTTCACTCAAGGAAGGCAACTGACATTTATGTACTCAGTGAATTATAAGCCTTTTCAATCATAAGCCACATAACAACCTCATAATATGTGTGCTATTGTCTCTATTTTATGGTAGAAAAAACATACGAGCAGGCGTCCTTCCCCCGTAGACCCTAACTCTTTGGTTTCAGTTAATCTCTCCAGTGTTCATAAGCATAGGGAATGGCAGGGACCAGCAGAGAAGGATCTGCAGGTGGCAGGGGGAGAGAGTGGTTACAGAAGCAGGAGCACTGCTGGTAGAGGAAGCAGCATGGCTAGCTGGACTTCAGCAGCCTGCGTGCGCAGGGCAGGTGACAGATGCATAAGCAAAGGAACAGCCACGGAACCCCTTGCCTTGAACAAGGCGGAGGTAGACATGGACCTTTCTCCCCTCATGGGGCCGTGCATGCCTCATTTGTCATCTTGTTTGATCACAGGGTGCTCCCAGAGTCGGCCAGGCATGGCTTTTCTCAGTCCTTGCACTGCAAGACAGGGCTCTGAGGAATGGGAGGGGCACCTGTTCTCTCCTTGTGACCCCAGTGAACACAATGCAAAAGAGACAGCTCCAGCTCTCCATCTTCTGGGGGGAGAGGGAAACCAGTGGGCACGTTCACCCCAAGCCTTTACCCTTCACATCTTTTTTCTTTCTACATCTTTTCTCAGCTTTCCTGAGAAATAAGTTTTGGCTTATTGTGTTTTCCTTTTGATTTCTGTAAGCAATGTATGGTCCAGGCTCTAATCTCTCTTTCTACATTAAAACACACACACACGCACGCACGCACGCACGCACGCACGCACACATGATCTCTGCTGCTACAGACAACTCCATGGGCTAAATGTGTTTACCTAGACAGAAGTGTTACGGAGCATCTCCAAAAACAGAATTCTTTCTGTCTTACACCATCCCTCAGCTGAGACAGACAGGCCTGCAGGACACTGGGCAGCAGGGACCTCCATGGCCAGGCAGTTCAGAAAGGGGACCCGGGGCATGCACACTCAACTCATGTTGGCAGGGTGGGAGTCAGTGCAGCTTTCGAAGAGCAGTTTGGTAGTTTAAAATGTGCACAATGTTTGAGTCAGCAACCATTTAATAATACTTCCAGCTGGTTTTCAAAAAAGAAATTTCTCTACAAGGAAGCATGTTGTTTTTAATAATGAAAAGCTAGAAATAAGTGCAATGTCCAACAATAGGGGATTAGTTAAATAAACTATGGTGCATCTACGGAGTGGAATATTGTGTAGTGTTTAAAAATCTAGTTATAGAAGATGAAATAACATGGAAATATTCACGACATAGTGGTCAAGTGAAGAAAAGTAGGTTATAAAAAGCCTATGTATACTATAAGCTCAAATTTATTTTTAAAAAGTGTATTTGATTATGAACATAGATTGACAATTAAATATATCATGATATTAAGTATTACTTCAGCATTTGCAAGTCATTTTGATTTTCTTCTTTGTGCTTTTTGGTAGACTGGTGGTGTGATGTAGACTTGAGCCAGACTACCTGGATTTGGATCCCAGGCTCGTCCACATACTAGCTGTGTGATCTCACATAAGTTACTGAACGTCTCTGTGCCTCAGTTTTACCCTTTATAAAATAAGGATCATGATAATCACAGCATGTGCCTCATCTGGTTGTTATAAAAATTAAATGAGTAAAAATACATGTAAAGTGCTTAGTATAGTGCTTGGCCATAGTACACACCTTACAAGTGTTGCCTACTGTTATTTTAAAAATTTGCTTTGGTGAATACTTAAAACTTCTATACTTAGGAAAAAAAATACAATAATTAATTTTAAACAAAGGAAAGGGACCAGATTCTTCCAAGAAGGCCAAAGTAATGAAAGAGAAAAGTAAATACCACTCTAAAAATCACCTATCGTCTGTCCTCAATGTTATTACGAAGGACAGAAATTGGGTAATTGTCCTTGTAATTTACTGACCAAAATTCACTTTGGTTCAAATCGCCTAGAAAATTGGAAGAAAGAGATAGCTTTTAATCAAATGACCTAGAGGGAGGGTCAATATTTTTTTAGATGTGGGTGGTCCTGTTGCTTGCTGGCTGTGACGGGGAGGTTGGAGGAAGGTCTGGGGGTCTGATGCCAAGTGGGAGAGGATGGTAGGAGGTGACCCAGACTTTCGAGGGAGCCATTACTGGGAAAGTTCCCCTTTTCCTGAAAAGTTCTAGTTTTGTGCTGCCTAAGTTAGATCATTCACATCACCACTCATTCTATATGTATTTCTACAGTGAGCAGTCTCTAAAGGGGCTTTTGATTATCGAGACAATTGCTTCAGTGATCCAATAATGTTAGCGACTAGTTATTGACTACTTCCTTCGTGTGGGTGCTCTGTCCTAACAACCCTTACCATGACATTTCTCACTTAGTCTTTCCAGTGGCCCTGTAAGACCAGGGCTGGCAGCATCCTTAGTCTCATTTCCTAGACAAGGAGTCTGAGCACAGAGTGGAGTTAACTGGCACAAGGTCAGAAAGCTTTCCAGGTATGAGACTGTGTTTGGAATCCTGGGCCACCTGGTTTAGAGTCATAGGGTTTAACACTACTCTGCCTCGCTTTCCTTTGGCTCTGGAACTTGAAAGAGGCACATGTCTTTCAGAGCTCTTGTTAAAATGTTTTCCTCCTGCCTCTGAGACCTGACTCCTACCATTTTAGCCCCCAAGAGAAGGAGCCCCTTTAATTGCCTCATTCTGGCCTATGGAGGTGGGACGTACTTTTTTGAATAGCATGAGGACAATTTGTGTAGTGCGTTAGTGAGTTTCCTGAATTGTATGCCTGTCTTTAAAGATGCAGAAGCCCGGGTGACCAGTATTCACCTATTTCTATGAAGCCACAATTTATAAAAAGGGTTTACATATTTTTTTAATTATGGGAAAATATACACAGCATAAAATTTACCATCTTGACCACTTTTAAGTGTACTGCTCAGCAGTATTAAGTACATTCACATAATTATGCAACCAAGCTCTGGAACCCTTTTCACCTTGAAAAACTGAAAAGCTGTACCCATTAAACAACTCCCCATGTCCCCCTCCTACCAGATCCAGGCACCTACTTTCTGTCTCTATGAATTTGACTACCCTAGGTACCTCGTATAAGTGGAATCATATAGGATTTGTTTATTTGTGACTAGTAAATGTCCTCAACATTCATCCGTGTTGTAGCATATATTGGAATTTTCTTCCTATTTAAGGCTGGACAATATTCCATTGGCTGTGCATGCCACATTTGTTTATCCTTTTATTCATCAATGGACACTAGGGTTGATGCCACCTTTTAGCTATTGTGAATAATGCTGCCGTGAACATGGGTGTACAAGTGTCTCTTCGAGACACTGCTTTCAATTCTTTCAGGTAAGGATATAGAATTGGAATTGCTGGACCATATGGTAATTCTACATTTAATTTTTCAAGGAACCACCATACTGGTTTCCATAGTGGCTGTCCCTTTTTTCCATTTCTCACCAGCCATTCCTAAGGGTCCCAGGTTCACTAGAGAGGAGCATCTTTAACTGCGGCAGCCCTAATCCCCTCTCCTTTCTTTCGGAGCACAGGTCAGTCCATCGTGGGCTGCAAGGCCATCCTCATCGATGACCAGGTCTTTGTGGTGGTGGCCCAGCTCTTTGGGGGCTCCCATATTTACAAGTACGATGAAAGCTGGACCAAGTTTGTCAAATTCCAAGACATAGAAGTCTCTCGCATTTCCAAGCCCAATGACATCGAGCTGTTTCAGATCGACGACGAGACGTTCTTTGTCATCGCAGACAGCTCCAAAGCTGGCTTGTCAACAGTTTATAAATGGAACAGCAAAGGATTCTACTCGTACCAGTCTCTGCACGAGTGGTTCAGGGACACGGACGCTGAGTTCGTTGATATAGACGGGAAATCGCACCTGATCCTGTCCAGCCGTTCCCAGGTCCCCATCATCCTCCAGTGGAATAAAAGTTCCAAGAAGTTTGTTCCCCACAGTGATATTCCCAACATGGAAGACGTGCTGGCTGTGAAGAGCTTCAGAATGCAGAATGCCCTCTACCTGTCCCTCACCCGCTTCATTGGGGACTCCAGGGTCATGAGGTGGAACAGTAAGCAGTTTGTAGAGATCCAGGCTCTTCCGTCCCGGGGAGCCATGACCCTGCAACCCTTCTCTTTTAAAGAGAATCACTACCTGGCCCTGGGGAGTGACTATACGTTCTCCCAGATATACCAGTGGGATAAAGAAAAGCAGCTCTTCAAAAAATTTAAGGAGATTTATGTGCAGGCGCCTCGTTCCTTCACAGCAGTCTCCACTGACAGGAGAGATTTCTTTTTTGCATCCAGTTTCAAAGGGAAGACAAAGATTTTTGAACACATAGTTGTTGACTTAAGTTTGTGAAGTTGTGATCAGTGCATTTAAAAGACACGTAGCACTAACTCTTATAAGAGAGGACCAAGAAAAAAATTTTTAGAAAGAAGCCAGGTGCAGAGCTCTGACATTACAAATGCACTGGGGAAATAGTTAGACGTTTTCAAATGTTTAGAACTCACATTTAATCAGGGATTGCATTTATTGGCTACCTGCATGACATGTCCATTCTCCCACTTAAAAAGATGTCTTAAAGCCGGTAATTCCTGAGAAAAGAGTACAGTATTAATTCTTACCATCTAGGAAAGTAATGTGCTTTTTTTCTTTTTCTTTTTAATGATGAAGGAGAAAAATCAGATAAGATGGAACAGCTCTTATAATGATTTTTTTTTAAAAGACCAAACAAACTATGGGACCATCTCATCCCATTTTAGCAATCTTTTTGGTAAGAACTCTTAAAGCCAAAGTCAGCTGAAAAGATTTGCTGATGATAAGTTTAAAAATCTGATAACACTCAGCAATGCTATTTTGAGCCATCCCAATTTCCTGAACCCCCCCTTACTCGCAGAACCTTAGCTATTTCATTGGCTCATACGGATGCTTGTCATGGGTGTGTCAACACCATAACGTTTGACAAATTGCTTCCTCTGCTCCAAAGGGAACACTCTGCTGACACATGTCTGGGCCTAGCACGGGATGTAGGCCCAGGGCTGAGACAAAGGAGGTATCCTCTCTTCTTGTGGTTCAGAGCTGACCCCCATGGTGCCTGGAGCACCAATGCTTGTTTGATGTGCTCCATGACTCACTGCTTCTCTAAACCCATCCTTTGAGTGTGCGGGTAACCAGCAGACAGGCCAAAGACTGAATGGTGCTTTTTATTCTGTCCTTTAGAGCAATAGAATAGGTATTTCCATCTGATGAGGATTGAAGTAAGATTTTGTGGCGTCAAAGAGGACTGCACGCACGTCTCCGTGTACTCTGAAACCTAGAGATGGCCCTTTGATTGATGCATGCCTTTGCCCTCTGGGCAACTTAATATTTCAAGGAACTGAATACCAAGCTACCTACCTGCCCACCTGCCTACCTCCCTACTCATGTAACAGTCCTGCTTTGTTGATTTGCTAATATTGCTGCTGCCAGTGCAGCTCTTCCCAAAGTGCTGTGGCACCAAATTGTAGAACTAAGGAAACTCAGGACAACACAGTCCTTCCTTCCCCAGTCCTTGGCAGTGGAAACCCACATGCTTACATGGGGCCACGTGCAGCCAGGGGGCTCATCCTGTACAAGCTGGGGGCGGGGGTTTCAGGCTGATCAGTAGGGACCAGGTTTGGAGCCAGACACTCTGAATCCCACAGACCACGTCTGTACTCGGGGGACCGGGAGACCTGTTTCAAAATGGGCCTCTCTTTTGTGGAACGGGAAGCTGGTGGTGAGGGGTCTGGTTTTGTGGAAGGTTCCAGAGGGATATTCTGCCTGGTTAGCTGGTTCCTGTCAAAAACTGTGAAGTGAATGCTTTTAGGAGTGGCTTTCACAGAGTAACCCAACAACTTCTAGCCTGAAAGTAGCGCAAGCATATTGTACTGCTTTGTTATTTTTAATGATTGTTTGCCAAGTCATGAGTAGGTAGATGTTTTGCCACAAACTTGAATGTGTTTGTTGTTTCTAGGCTTTAAGCAATGCAGATCGAGGCAATGAATAGCACTTAGAGAACAATGCATCGATGTCACAACTGCACTCTTGGGTACATTGTGGGGCTGTAAGCTGAGGGCATCCAGCCTAGGACACCAAGGACTTTAATGAACGAACTCATCCACACATAGCAGCATTCATTGTTGCTTGAATCCTACTAAGCACCTAGCGAATAGGAGAGGAATGGTTTGTTTTCATTTTTTAAAGCACAAATCACTCTTCTGCATTCTTTTGCCTTCCTGGTTTATTTGAATAGACCCAGATCCCCACACTGGGGGCTGAAAGTGGGACAGCCCTGTTATCCCTCCAGCTGTCAACATGGACAAACTATTTTCTCTGGCATGTGGAACCCCTCAGACAAGGCTGGGTGGAAAAACAAGCCCTTGGCAAACAGCGTAGGAGACGTTTAGAGAGTCCCAACAGTTGGGCCAGGTCGACATGAGGTTCCTGAGTCAGATGTTTGTAGAGAAGGCAGCTGGGGCGTCTTCACAGTGCAGACTCCACAGAACGGTGCACCAACTTCCCAGCTTCACCTGTGAGGGGGAAGTTAGGGGCTCACCGTGTGCACTCACCACGCTGGTGACCATCGCCTAGAATCCGGAAACCAGGAAGCACAGGGTGCCAGGCTGGGAGTGGAGACTAGCTGAGTCCAGAGGAGACAGGTGAAAGAAAGATCTAAAGCATAAGATGGAGGTGGGGGTGGGGGTGGGACAGAGGGTGAGAGGGTGAGTAATCCACTCAGCTGCAATCAGGATTTCTTTTCTTTTTCTTTTTAAAAAAGCTTTAGACAAGATCAGAGTCTGCAATCTACAGAGTCCCCGCACTGAGGGAGGAGATATCTGTTCTGGCCGACTTACTTAAGGAGTATGGATGTTTTTGGCAAGAGGCAATGGAAGCTTTGCTTCATTAATCTTACTGCTCCATCCCAAGAGTCCCTCAAGTTTTAAACCATTTCTGCAAGAAGCTTTCTTCCAGTAAGAATGTAAGACAAAAAAACAACAACGAAAATCCAAAGCAGAGAGACGTGGCGGCCTATCCCTGTGGAGATAGCTGTAGGAGGGGCTGTTCTCGTTTCTTCCTTCCCATCACCCATGGGTTGATCATCTCAGCTTGTTTCTTTATAATCTTGGTGGCCAGGCTCCCAGATTGAGTCCCTCCATGTAGTCATATAGCCAAGACGCATAGCCTTAAAGCGAGGACTTTTTGTTCCCAAATTCCATGGAGTCAAGAATAGATCTCTTATGAAGACTAAAAATAAGGCTTTGGTGTGAATGGTGCTGTGACCTTGGGCAGTGGTTAATAAGACCCCCTTGCATTTCAACAAAGCTTTATTTTTGTTTTCAATGTACCTTTGTAGTCATCTGATTTGTTCATAAATAGTTCTTCAATTTATTGGAGATTCCAATAAATTATATATATTTATATATAAAATATAGTATTCCAATTTCAGAGAGGAGATAGACACAGAAAATCTAAGTCAATTGCCTACTCAAGATTATCCAACAGTGAGTGGCAAAGCTAGAACTTTCTCTTTAAACAGCAGGCTTCTTTCTGTGACCCTGCCCTGGCCTCCAAATGAAGACTTCTTAGTCATGATTTTGAATATAACAGCACCTTGAGATAAAATAAAAAATGCAAGAAAATGGGAATAGTCAGAAGGAAAATAGTGCTAACTAGACACCATCCAATGAACTGGCCCATTTAGCAATTAAACACCTTCGAACTGCTATTGCATGCAAGGCCCCACTCTTGAAAGTCTTTTGGAAGTTTCAGATAATTTTCTTTCCAAAAGAGGGTTTCTAGCTGGCACAGGTATTTCTCCCCTGACACAGCTGTGAGAGGGGTGCTGAGGTAGAGACGCATCTGGTTCTTGTCACAATGTCCACAAGCTAAACAAGAGCAGTTCTGTAAGGGAAAAACGAAAAACTTGAATGCACGAGTGATGATGAATGGCTCCCGGCCGCAATCAGCCTTCGGGGAGCCCGCTGGAAATGGCAGTGTTGCATTTTTCTTCCCCACGGAGTGAGAGGCTGTGTATTTTTAGGAAAGAAATCAGCGTGGGATACTGGAGCTTTGGCTGCCAGGAACACTCACGATGGAAATTTCTCCAACCAGGGTATAATGAAAGAGAGATGAGGGTCTGTGGGAGGGAGTTGATTTGCATGCCACCTCAAGAAAAATCTTTTTAGCCGACTTCCTGATTCTTCTGCCAGAGGTACTAGCCTCTCACTCGCAGCTTTGTGGGCAGTGGCCAGGGATGCTGTTGAACAGTGCCCTGGGACAGATGCAGCAATCTACTTGTTGACGCAGTGAGTAAGAAGGTCCAGCCTCGGGAGAAGCGTAAAGGGAGTCAGCAGAAAAGCAGGGTGGATGACTCTGGAGGAAACTCTTTGGGGAAAGTGGAAATATGCTAGAAGAAAAGAAAAAGTCATAATGATTTCTTTTGCCTCAGCCAGGCAAAGAGAGGGTGAATCTACCAGGCAAATGTACAGCATCCCAATTATTAAGGAAGAGAACCAATGATAACAGTCATTAAAATAATTATATGGAAAGCTACTGAGACACCCTTTTCCTTACATTATCCCATTGCTTGTATCAGAATCTACCTTTTTTCTAGTAGGGAAACTATGTATTCCCCCATCAATCCCTTTGATTATCAGGAATGAATAAGACCCGTGATAAAATAGGCCAATATGCCATTTGGTACCACTTTTATGTATTTGAAATGCATAATGTAGGCAAAATAAGAATATATGTATATGAAAGTGAATTTTGCAGTATGCAAGCTACAATGAATGCATTTTAATGCTGAATATATATTTAGCTCTTTTTTGGTAAATAGAGTTAACAAGTGATATGCCTCTTAATTCGATATATTCTGTAAACCTATGAATAAAAAGTAGCTCCTGCCAAATATGGCTTTGATCTCTGGACTGCTTGAGTATGGATGGATACGTCCAGTTGAGTTGGAGTTGAAGGGAGGCCCACTCTGGGGTGTTGAGGAAAAGCAGAATGTGCCTTTGTATCTCTGTGGCTTACTCCCTGTTTAGATGGAAGATAAGACCCCTCAGAGGCCTTTTGCTTCTTCTACTTGCACACTAAAAAGTCACAAAAAGTGACTGAAGAACTTTACAGTTGCACCTCTACCTGATCTGCAGAATTGTAATTTGACAGACTGATAAAGAACTCTAGGAATCTTTGGGTATCTTCTAATTCTGGGTGGAAAGGAAATGAGATTGTAAAATCTCATTGGTTGGATTGAACCATGAACAACTGGAGGGCAGAATTTTTTACTTGTTCCCTGCATGTCTGGGATCTAAGCTGGTACACCGTAGGGGTTCAGTAAAACTTGGTCGCACATCTCTATGTCTTTCCTTTAAGACCCAATTAGTTTAGTTGAACAAATGGAGGGTCAAAAACTCAGATCACATATGACCAGGTACCTACTGTACGCCAAGTACTTGGATGAGCTGTGGTGCCTTTTAAGAAGTACAAGAACAGAGTTCTTGCCCTCCTGGAACTTTGATCCAGTTAAGAAGAAAAGTCATAATTGCCTGAGGCTACAGTCCCAACACAAAGCAGTAGGTGACTAATTGTACAAGGAATGAAACAGGGGTGACAACCAAATAGTTAATAGCAGTATGGCACGCACACTGAATTTGCTTTCTGTTGCTGTGTAACAAATTACTACAAAGGAGTGGCTTAAAACAAAACAAGTTCATGAGCTCAGTGTTCCAATGGCTCAGGAGTCCTGCCTGGTATGGCTCAGCTGAGTCCTCTGCTTAGGGTCTCACAGGCTGCAGTCAAGGTGTCGGCCAGACTGCCCTCTCATGTGGAGCCTCAAGTAAGGGGGAAATCTGCTTTCAAGTTCATCCAGGGAATTGGTAGAGTTAATTTCCTTGTGATTATAGAACCAAGGGCCTTGTTTTCTTCCTTTATTTTCCTTTCCTTCCCTTTCCTTCCTTCCTTCCTTCCTTCCTTCCTTTATTCCTCCCTCCCTTCCTTCTTTCTTTCCTTCCTTCCTTCTTTTTGGATGGCAGTGGATTTTTTAAAATTAATTTTTAATTGTAGTTGACATATAACATTATATTAGTTTCAGGTTTATAAGATAATGGTTAAACATTTATAAATCTTATGAAGTGATCACCACAATAAGCCTAGTCACCACCTGGTACCATACATAGTTATTATAAAATTACTGACTATATACCCTATGCTGTATTTTACATCCCCGTGACTTATTTTACAACTGGAAGTTTGTACTTCTTAATTGAGGTCCTCCTTTCCTTGCTGGTTGTTGGTCAGAAGGCCTCTTTCAGCTCCTAGAGGCTGTCCATACTTCCATCCAGTGGCTTTCTTCATAGATAGGTCCTCTCACAACTTAACTTGGCTCCTTCAAGGTCATCAAGACTCATCAGCATGATGACATCCTATCACCTTGGCCCTATTTTACTGGTTTGAAGCAGGTCACAGGTTCCTGCCCTCATTCAAAGGGATAGGATTATTAAGAACATGACTCATGGAGTGGGAGGTGAGGGGTCACCTTAGGGCATGTCCACCACAGGCACCAACCAAACAGAATGGATGCCCAGCTGATCAGAGTAGATACTAACCATAAATAACCAGTGACCTGGGCCCAGTGCCTTTCCGTGGAATATGAACTGTGAAGACAGATAATAAATTTACAGGAGAAAAGTTCACTTCAAGCAAGGGCAAGTACCCTTTTGACCAGGATAAAGAGAGGAAAGGGCCTGGTTCCTTTTCATTATTGTTTTACCATTATATCATTGCTTTGTGTGTGTGGAGAAGTGAAAAAAAAGAACTGAATTTTTCCAGGCTTGGAAGTCAGAAGCTCATTAATCCCACATATCTCGGTGCATTTCATCTTGGAACAAAAATGCTCTATGTGAATTGCCCAGCCCTAACCGCATACCCATTGACTTATTTCCTCAATTTCTCAGAAAGCTAGTTGAGGGCTAATTGCCTAAGAAGAACTGGAGGCATAAGTAATGGATCACTTTCACTGATCACCTGTTCTTACAGTTGGTATCTTTACCTGCCTCCCAGACAGGACAACCCTTTACCAAGTAGGGTCTAATTGGCACAGATGACTTTCCCCAACAAATTGGTAGCAAAGCTGAGGCTGACGGCCTTGGATGAACCCTACCTCTTGGCTACTGTTTCAGGCAGCTTCTTGCTAAACCTGAGCTTCTCCTGCCTTCAGCCAGACAACAAACCAAAGCAACACAGGAAAAGAGGCCTGTCGTAATGGAAGTGCTACCCCAGAATCCCCAGGACTTTCTGAAATTTGTATGTGAGCCCTGAAGAACATTTTCCGGCATACACCTCCAGGTGTCTACTCTAGGAAGTCTCCTAGAAACCAAGAGAAAAAGCACAACTTCAGGGAACAATTGTGAGGGCAGGGAGAAAGCTGCCTAGTTCTCCATCTCCATCTCACCCCCCACATCCTCCCCAGAAATGACCCAGGGCTCCCATTAGCACCTCCAATCGTAGGGTCGAGAGATTCCAGGTTGCGTTGCCAGCCCAGTTAGTTCTGTCATCTCCCTATTGCTTTTAAGAGGAGCATGGGTTGAAGAGCTTATGGAAATAAAGCTGGGGCTTCAGGAGTAAAGAGCGGTCTTGACGCTGTCCCGGCCCCTGGCTCAGCTCTGTTCAGCCCTGGTGTGACTCACTCCTAACTTCCTGCCTGTGTTTTGAGGGCTGTATCTAACCCAGAGAAAGACGACAGTGCTCTGAAGACCATCCGGGATACTTAGCTTGTCACTAGCTGCTATGTCCCCCTAAAATTCATCTGCTGAAGTCTCACCCCCGATGAGAAGGTATTTGGAGGCGGGGCCTTTGGGAGGTGAGTAGATCATGAGGGTGGAGCCCTCAGGAATGGGATTAGTGCTCTTAGAAAAAAGAGGAGGAGACACAGGACGTTGGTCTGCTTTCTGCCCTCACCTACAAGCCAGGAAGAGGGGCCTTCCCAGACAGCTAATCTACCAATGCCTTGGTGTTGAACGTCCAGCCTCCAGAACTGAGAAATAAATTTCTGTTGTTTATAAGCCATCCAGTATATGGATTCTCATAGAGCAGCTTGAACTGACTGAGACACATGCCCCCATTCTTTGCAGACTGCACCCATTGAGAAATGGGAAAATGTCAGAATAGCACCTTGATTACTGATAAGGGTTCTATTGGAGACTGTGATTTATTATCTGTGGGCAAGTGGGTTTCCTAACACTGAACCCCGAAACAGGCAGACATACTTGGTCACAGGCTTACAGTATGGCAGAGCAGTGGACACGCTTGCTCTGTGCACACATGCAGACTGGGGGTGGGGGTAAGGGGGGAGGGCGAGACTGGCTTTAGCATGTGCAACTTCTCTGTTGTAACTCACCAGTCACTTTAGGATATCCCGCATTGTCTTGGGTGGAGAGCAAAGCATGCAGCTTGGTGATGGGAGTGTTATGCTCTTGGGGCCCCCTCCACATGGGAGGAGACATCAGGAGTAGGAAAGACGCCTTTTCTCCGCTAACTTCAACAACTCAGGATGAGACAACGTTGAGGAGATCTGGGGAGCGCAGGCTCCCTATTTCCTAACTCCATTTGAAAATTGTCCACAGAGACCAGGGGAGTATATTTTAACTGCTTGGATCTTTTTGGTATGAAATAGACCAGAAGACAAGGGAAATTTTCCAGCACTGAAAGAGGATCTTTTCTGCAGGTGACGGGAATTGATATCGTTCAGTAAAGCTCTGTTCATCCCCACCATCCCTTGCTAGATTTTTATTTGCTATTTTATTTTTCCATATTGAATAGTACCAAATATAGTGAACTATAATGTCATTCCAGGGTCCCGAAAGAAGAAACAGGTCAACTTTAAATTTCTTTCAGTAACACAGAAAGTCACGAGAATTTTCTGGCATTCTGTGTTTTCAGCAAAGTGGCGTATCTGCTCTACTTACTAAAAATGACACTCTCCCACCGTTTCCATCTGCATTTACGTTCTGCGCGTACTGCTGAGGTAGCTTTCCCCCTTGTGTTTACTGCCGATGCATTTGCATTTTCCGTCACAATAAATAACCCACTAAAACCCTCCGACAAGAAGGTTCCAGCCCCTGCTCTTCCTAAGCGTGGCACTATAGACAACGACCTATAGTCATGATGGCTAAGAGGAAAGTGAAAAGTGGACATTTGCAAAGAAAAATGAGTGAATCCAAACAGATGCTCGCTGCGCTGTTAGGAAATGAGAGACATGAAACCGGTGTGACATTTCTATAACCATGAAAGTCGTGGGTGTTGAGGGAGGTTCCAGCAGGAGGCAGCTTTCATTCCAGTGGCTGTGTCTGTGTCGGCCACCACTTGCTCCCCAGCACCCAGTAGGGTCACCTAGCCAAGAAGGGTTCCCCAATTAGTAACTCCCTGAAAGGATGTGATTGAACGAGTGGTCTGCATTTATTGGGTGCTAGGCACTAGGCAGAGGGGGCTACACACCTCAACTCACTTATTCTCATAATACTCTAAGAAGCAGGCACTCCCATGTCTCCATTTCACAGATGAGGAAATGGAGGCATAAGAGGTTGAGGGATTCCCTGGGTCATACGAGTATGCTCACTCGCTGTGCTACATTCCCTCTTTATTCACAAATGCAAAAAAGCCATAGCTTTGTAGGGACCAAGTGCCACTCCAGATGTGTTTGACTTCAAAGTCCATGTTTTTTTCTGTAACTCCATTCAATGTAAAGCTTGTGTATGTGGTCGTGGGGTGTGGGAGCACATACAGAATGAGAGGTTTGTTTTACTATGTGGGTAGTATGAGAAGCTGGAGAGGCCATCCTGTCCCCAGTCCTCACCGCAGCAAGGGCTCCCCGGCACCAGCTTTTTCTGCCCATCCCCCTGTGCTTTCCTCACCT